TGGATAGAGCAGGAGGATGGGGATAGATAGATAGATAGATAGATAGATAGATAGATAGATAGATAGATAGATAGATAGATAGATAGATAGATAGATAGATGGGGGGATGGGTATAGATAGATAGATAGATAGATAGATAGATAGAGTAGATAGATAGATAGAGGGGGGATGGGGATAGATAGATAGATAGATAGATAGATAGATAGATAGATAGATAGATAGATAGATAGATAGATAGATAGATAGATAGATAGATAGATAGATAGATAGATAGATGAAAACAACTTACAACAGCGAGCTAGATTTCAAGAGGACACATGAATTGACTGATTTACAGCTGGGTCACCAAGATCAGATTCCAGCCCTGACCCCATTGATGTCAGTCGATAAATAACCCTGCCCTGGCTCCTGTGCTCTGAGTTGCCCCCAGCATCCCTCGGGCACAACTTTCCTTGTCTTTCATTTTCAACAAGTTGGAGGAAAATTGATTCTCATATTTTGCAAGTGTTTAAAAATATTTTCTCCTTCCCTGATACAGTGTGTGTGTAGAGGGGACAATTTTGGGGTGGTTTCTCCTCATTTCCCCACTGATTTGAAAACAATACAAAGGGGATAGGGAGGTTAGAAACCCCCAACTCCCAGTCCGACAGTTTTCAGTTCATTCTCACTCCAGGTCCACCCGCCATTGGCCGATTGCACTAGGCCAGGAGGGGGCACCATAACAGCTCCCCCAAATGTCCTGATCAGGGCTCCCCACCCCTCAGCCCCCAAGAGATAAGGGGACCTCAGAGACCCAGCCGGAGAACCAGCCCCATCCACTGGGGTAGTGGCAATGTGGCCATGACCATGGGGTCAAGGGGCTGCCCCCTGGCTCTGGGGCAATGTGGGGGGTTGGGGGGCCAGTGGGAGGTGACGGAAGCAAGCAGGTTCATGTGGGATTGGGGAGAAGGTGATGAGTGTGGAGTAGGGGGGCTCATAGTTCAGAGATGGTCCCGTCCCAACCCCCGCCCTGTCCTCTCTTCCCCTACAGATGGCCGAGATTGTAGAAGCCGCCAGGAGGGAATATGAACAATTTGTGCAGAAGCAGGTGAGCGCAAAGGGGCTGTGTCACGGAGTCCCCAGGCGATGCTCTGGAACTGCTCCCCACAAAGCCAGTCAGGACTTTCAGGAACCTCCTCTCCCTCGGAGCAGACCGTCTTCAGGGCAAGAAGCTCACACAGCTTCATCTCCTGGGTCTCTCCTGGAAGCATTCAGCATATGCCCCTCCGTGCGCTTCCCACAGCGAGTCCGCCCCGGCGGGGTCCTGGGGAAGCCAGAGGGTTCTGCACCCCCCACTTCGCAGTCAGACGTGACTCTCAGCCAGCCAGTAAAACAGAGGTTTATTAGGCGACAGGAACACGGTCTAAAACAGAGCTTGTAGGTCCAGCGAACGGGACCCCTCTGCCGGGTCCATTCTGGGGCCCAGCGAGGCGGACCCCCCGTCTGCCCTCCCTTTCAGTCCCCAGCTAGCTCCAAACTCCAACCCCTGTCCAGACCCTCCTTCTCTGGGCTTTGTCTCTTTCCCAGGCCAGGAGGTCACCTGATCCCTTTGTCTCCAACACCTTCAGTTGGCATCTTTGCAGAGGAGGGGCCCAGGCCATCAGTTGCTAGGAGACAGAGTGTCGGGCATTTATGTGCACTGGCCCTTTGCTCTGCAGCAACCATACACCCTTATCCCACCACCTAGATACTTAAGAACTGCATAGGGGAAACTGAGGAAAACATTAAGAACAGTCCCACTTCGTCACAGGCTGCAGGTCAGGGTTAAGGAGCACTGGTAGAGCTGGGGGAGCAGGGCAGGGCTAGCAGGGGGCTGCAGGTGGGGACTGAGGGGGCTGCTGGTGTGTGAGGTGGCTGTGCGCCCTGTGGCTGGGTAACGCTAGTGCCCGTCCCTAATGGCCGATCTTTCCCCGTTCCTGGCAGGACCGTGACCACCAGAGCACGAGCAGCTGCCTGAGGGTGAAGCCTGCGAAGATGAAGCAACTGCTAGAGGGGAAACACCAGGAGCTGCTGGAGCGCTGCCGGGGGGAGCTGCGGGGCGAGGACCCCCAGAAACAGGCGGCCCTGGAGGAGCTGAAGCAGGAGCTGGACAGGCAGATGGACCAGTTCCTGTCGGCCTACGGGCAGCGCTTTAAAGTGAAGAAGGCCGTGTGGTTGGGCCTGGCTGTGGGTGGGAGGGGGAAGTCCTGGCGGTCGGGAGCGAGGGTATCAGGGCGGGCGTCGGTGCGGATGTTGCTGTGGCTATGATGGCGATGGAGGAAGGAGTGGCCATGGGGTTGGGGCGGGGGGCTTTGGCCTGATGGGGGGGGGCTGTGGACAGGTGGGTGGGGCCGTGTGTGGACGGAAGGTGGCCCGGAATACGACAGGCACCAACTCCCCTGGGCAGGGGACGAGGGGGAGAGCGGGGCAAGGTGTACAAATCAGAAGCCCCTGCTGCTGGGGGACACATAGTGGGAAGGAATCATCACCCCCCATCAGCATTGGGAACCTCTGTATGTAAAGGATAGATAGATAGATAGGTAGGTAGCTTGGTTTGTTTATGGGAATAGATCTAAACAACTTACAACAGGGAGCTAGATTTCGAGAGGACATAGGGATTGACTGATTTACAGCAGGGTCACTGAGATGAGAATCCAACCCTGACCCCATCGACGTCAGTCGATAAATAACCCAACCCTGGCTCCTGTGCTCCGAGCCGCCCCCTGCATCCCTCAGTCACAAGTTTCAGTGGTTTTCATTCTCAACAAGTGGGAGAAAAATTGATTCTCATATTTTGCGGGGTTTTAAAAATATTTTCTCCTCCCCTGATAGGGTGTGTCTGTAGAAGGGATAATTTTGGAGAATTTTCCCCTCATTTCCCCACTGATTTGAAAACAATACAAAGGGGTTAGGGAGGTTAGAAGCCCCCAAAATCCCAATCCAACCGTTTTCAGTTCATTCTCACCCCAGGTCCACCCGCCATTGGCCAATTGCACTTGGCCAGGAGGGGACACCACAACAGCCCCCCCAAATATCCTGATTGGTGCTCCCTGCCCCCCAGCCCTGAAGGGATAAGGGAACCCCCATGATCCCAGCCAGAGAACCAGCCCCCTCCACTGAGTTGCCGGACGTATGGCCATGCCTGAGGAGTCAAGGGGCTGCCCCCTGGCTCTGAGGGAATGTGGGGGCCCGGGGGGCCAGTGGGGAGTTGGTAGTAGCGAGCAGGGCCTTGGAGGAACGGGGAGAAGGTGGTAGTGTGGGGAAGGGGAGCTCTCAGTTCAGAGATGGCCCCGTCCCAATCCCAGCCCTGTCCCCTCTCCCCCCACAGATGGCTGTGACAAAGGCAAACAGGAGAACAGTAGAAGCCGCGAGGAGAGAATATAAACAATTTGTGCAGGAGCAGGTGAGCACGGAGGAGCTGTGGGTCAGGATTAAGGGGCATCGGCAGAGCTGGGCTAGCGGGGGACTACAGGTCTGGAGCGAGGGGCACCCGTAGCACTAGGGGGCGCAGGATTGGGATAGCTGTAGGTTGCCGGTTGGGACAGAGGGGCAGCACCAGTGCTGGGCGGGCAGAGCTGGGCTAGCAGGGGGCTGTGGGTCGGGGTTGAAGGGGCTGCGGGTGTGTGAGGCAGTGGCGCCCGCTGTGGCTGGGTAACGCTACTGC